CGTATTTCATGATCTGGTAGGCGCAGTCCCAGGTGCTCTTGTACTTGTGCGCTTCCAGCCCCTGCGGGACGGGAAAAGATGGTTCAGAGGCCAGAGCCAGGGGTGCATCCAGGGGGATTTCGTGGGGGAGGCAGAGAGCTGGGGGTGCACCCGATCCCCCTTGGTTTCTGTGGGCCACCAAACCCAGAAGGGACGTCCCCATCTCCGTGCAAACAGCACCCCCACAGCCCAGCTGCGAGGGGCCAGAGTCCCCAGGCACCTCCCAAACTTCACCGGCATCGGGAGCTGCACAAAACAGCTCCCAAACGGTGGGTGACCCCGGCCCGCCGTGGGCAGAGCCGTCCCACACCATGCCCCAGTGCTGTACCTGCATCCTGGTCTTCACCACATCCAAGGGGGTGTTGCCGAAGACGCTCGCAGCTCCGGCGAGGGCTCCAAACACCCCCGTGACAAAGGGGTTGATGACCTTGTTGGGATCATCCCCTGGGAAGGAGGAGAGGTTGAGGGTGGAGGGGTGGTGTGGGGAGGAAGCATGGCGGCCCTGAAGGAGCACGGCATCCCCAAGGGAGCCTGCAAGGTCCCAGGTCTGGATGCTCATGGTCAGGGTTGGTGCAGTGCTGGGCTGGGGACCAGGACGTTCGGAAGGGACCGTCCAGCAGCGCCAGCCCCACAGAGCCCATGCAGCACTGAGGGGCTCAGGGTCGGGGAGTCGGGGTGAAGGCGATGCTCCAGCACCAGGACCCTTCAGCCCCATGAGCCGGGGCCCCTCTGCCCTGGCTTTCATCTTGCTCTATCACGACAGGCTGAGCCACAGGCAGCGGAGGGTGTGCTGACGGAAAGCCCGAGCCCAGCTCCTGAGGGTGGGCTGGGGGAGGCAGTGGGACAGGCGGGGTGGCCTGCGGGGACGGGGACACCGTACCTTTGTACCAGTTCTTGAGGGAGGTCATGACGAAGAAGCGGATGGCCTGGTTCGATCCTTGCTTGAGGACAGTTGCGGTTAAGCCCTGGTAGGTCCCCTTCAGTCCTGCAGCACGAGGGTGTTGGAGGGGAGCACCAGCCTCACCCAGGCAGAGAAAAACCTCCCCGGGCCGCCGTTCCCATCCCGTTCCCGTCCCCCACCTCCCACCCCATCCCCGCAGTGTGGGAGTACCCAGGGGGTCA